GTCATCATCATCATCATCATCATCATCATCATCATCATCATCATCATCATCATCATCAACAACAACAACATTATCATCACTGTCATCATTATTGCCATCATCATCCCAGCATTATTATTATTATTATTAATTTTAATCCTTGCCTTACGGTTTAGGATTGCTTCCAGTTTACATTTTATTGGTTATATATTCTTTATATATACATTATACATGTCTACATCTCAAATCGTATATCTATATAAATATAAAATATACAATTATCATTTCTGAAAGTAATTCGTTTATATGAATATATATATAATAATTCAACATCTCAACATTCAGATCGTAGTGGCGCTTCGTATTTAAAGTAATAAAATATATAATATATATAAAATATAAAAATATACAATGTGTCAAATAACATGAAGCAAAATACATCACATCTATCAGATACCTATAACTGCTTGTGTTTTGGTACTTTAAGATTGTCTATGCAACATTGTTTGAAACTGCTCTGAAAATAAGACTATTAACATAAAAATATAAAATATTGCTTGGAATTGCTTCGGAAATTATACTTAGAATCCATACTTTGCTTTCTGATTTTTTATACGATGTGACAATCCAGGAGGGGTCCTCTTCCTCTTGTTTCCTTTTTCTCTCTTTTCTGCTTCTTTTCTTATTTTATCTATTTTCTTATTATATTATATCCTTTAACTTCTTCCCCTATAAATTCTTCTATCTACATCCCATTCTTTGTCTCCTTGCTCTTCTTGAGTACATAATCATAATTTCCTCTGCAGCCTGATAAATTCTGCATCTTCTTTCTTCTTCCTCTCTCCAGTGTTGATTTCCTTTTGCTTCGTTCCCACATCTATATCTGACTTTTATACTTCTATTATATTTTTCAAATATCTTGGTAACAAGATTTGTTCTGGCCGTACGTTCTTATAGTTGCTATTATATCTTGATTCTTTTATCTTTATTTATCTTTCTACTGTCTCTCTTCTTTCTCTTCATAAGGTCTTTTCTTATACTTTGATTTCCTGCCTCTC